GGTCATCTCTGGCTGGGACGGCTTCTTGGTAAGGTCACTGGTGCGTTGTTGTTGCTCACCCACTACCCTACTACCTTGATTGTTTCTGCGGCTCATCTGAACATCGTCGACATTGTCGCAGGGCGTCCGCTGTCGTGGAGAGGTCTTTCTACGGTGTCCCGGCTTGCGCAACCGCCGCCCATCGTCTCATGTCGAACCCTAGGTGAGCGCCGGCCTCGTAACTAGGTCAGCGGGGGGTCCCATGTGGCCGGTGTAGGCACCTGTGCCACTGCTCGTCGCACCGGAGCGCGCTTTGATGGTCGAGGGCCTCACCGTTGTAAAGAGGAGAATGGTTCGAGGGTTCTTTTGTATAAGCGTTGTCTCTAGGAATAGTAACATGGACTGCGGGTTGTTTTGCTCATAGTCTAGGGGCGTTTTTGCATATGTGCCAGTGCGCGCATGCCTCCTCGCCGCCGGCCGCCTCCGCGCATGGGCCATGCCTCGCCTATGGGCCGCCGCGTGCTCGCGCGCGCGCGTTGCGCCTAGTGGGCCATGTGGGCTGAAAGCAGTTTAGATTTTTTGTGAAAAATAGAAATAGCTTTTCATTTGTAATTCTAAGCTAAAATTTGGTAAATCATATAAAATCATGTAGGTTTCCAAAAATTGTGAAACTAATTTTGTTAGGTTCCTAAAATTGTGCTATATCTGTTAGTGTATTTAGTTCATATATATATATTTGTTGATACCAGCGGCTATTAAATTAATTGCGAGTGTTTAGTATTATTTAGATTAGTATTTGTAGGAATTTTTATGGCAAATTGATAATAGCTTTGACCATGAAATTTTTACAGTAGATTCATTGTATTATTATGTGCTCACTGTAATTTTTGTAGCCTTAGAATAGGTTGAGAAATATGGTAGCTAAGTACTTCTTGTTGTAGTATATAGGAAATCGTTAATAAGAGTAAGAATATATTTTAGTTGCTAAGTAGCACTTGTAGGTGAAACCCTACTGGTTTGATGGAAATGATGATTATCTCGGTATCTTAGTCATTAGAGCTAGCTTAGTGGCTTAGTAGATGTATTCTTGTTTTAGGAACTACTGTTGCCTTAATATTGTGTGTTGCATCATCATTGCATGCATGTAGAGAACGAGTTGGTGGAGTTTATCACCGAGGGCGAGCAGGAGTACGAGGAGGTGATTGAAGAGTATGAGGAGGAGATCCTCATGCAGAAGGAGGTCCTAGAGCCACCACGGACTGACTGAGCTGACACTGCGCCTGCCTAAGGCAAGCCCCGGTGCATAACCCTTATTTTGAATAAGCACTGAATATATATATCTATGAAGTGCATTTACGTTACAGGCATTTTATGGAAACCACCTGCATAAATATATCTGTCCTCTAAGTCCTACTAGTACAGATGCGAGTAGCTACTATGCTTAGGATTTTCGGTAGCGTGAGTAACCTGCCGTTGCCCACAATAGGTGATTATTATTATCACCCTTATGATAAAATGGTAAAAGAAAAATAGAGACCGGACAGGGATATGGTATGGATATTGGTGGGTGTAAGAGGTTATGTCCCGTGGCCAACGGGATATAGCTTGGTTACACTGTTTTCCCTGTCCATGTCGGTTAAGGACCGGCCGTTGCATTGGGTTCTAGTCAAGTCATAGACTTATTATCCTGAGCACATATTTGTTTATGGGAGCAGGGAAGGCCCATTGCTCTCTTATCGTGGGTTTCGGCTCTTTCTAGACCGACTGATTGTAGGCGAGGATGGTAGAGGTCTAAGCACCACACTAAGTCTGGGACTCAGGTGTGGAGGATTGGAGTCTAAGTTTAGATGGGGACCTAGACCCCTTGACAGAAGAGTGATGGGTTGGTCCTGCTTGTGCCTAGGGTACAAGCAGGGTGTGTGTTTCGGGGTACCTAGCTAGGCACATTGTTTCGTGAATCACCGAGTAATCCGGTATGACTTGTCTACAGTCTAGCACCATAGTAAGAACTGAAAGATGAAAGATGGTGAAATGGATCTGTTTGCTCAACTCTTGCTCGAAAGTAGAATAGGTGCTTACATAAAATGGTTAGGTAATGAACTAATCATAACTGCTAATAAGAAACATACATAAGGATTCACTACTAGTATTGCTTTCCATAAAAAGGAAACCCAGCAAACCATAGAACGTATTATATCCTTTGGAGTCGGGAAGTTATTCCCACTAGTTGGGTAAGTCTTGCGAGTACATTGTGTACTCAGGGTTTATTTACCCCTGTTGCAGGTGCAGCTTGAAGAGTAGCTGTTGTGTGGATGATTCTTCTGGTGGACATAGACGGATCATTGTATTCTACCGTTAGATGTTTATTGTAGTTCCGCTATTTAAATTCTATACTCTGAGCTTAGTACTATAATAATGTATTTCTAAGAACTCTAGTTATATAAAATGAACTAAGTATTGTAATCTCGTTCTCATTATTAGATCCTAGAGGAAAAATGTGGATTATTCGAGTTCTCCCTTGTGGTGTGCTCGATGGAGCCGTCCGATGTGGACAGCTTTTGGGGTGCTTAGTGTTTGGTGGAAGACGAGCGCCTCCGGAAGCGTGCCACTTCGGGTGGTTCTGCCACACCGGTCGTCTCATCCATGCGTCGCACATGGACATCATGCAAGTTTGGGAACTAGGGCTACCATCGAATGAAGGAGGAAGAAGTGCCATCACCGATGCTGTTTCTTTAGTTCCGCGATGGTCCCATCGACACGGGCACTGGACGGTCGTGGACTGCACCATCCCCGCTCTGAAGCGACGACCTCGCCATCCGTACCCTAAGTGCACCAGTCCTCCAGCCATCTCTCCAATGCTCCATCCATCGCGCCCCAAATCCCACTGCCCTGCCTCCTTGTAGATCGAATGGTCTGTTTTGATGTCGACAAGGACACTATGGTAGAGGAGGTGTCGCATCGCGTCGTTGTGCTCCTTAGCATCGAGTCCAAGCATCACGTCCACCCATGCCCCGTTCTCTAAGGGCTTGTTTGATATAGGGCGCAGGGGTGGCCGAGCCTGTCAACCAGGCCCTGGCCAGCCACGGCCTGGTCCAGAGCACATACAAGGGTGTGTTTGATTTCCTACAGCTGCACAGCCTGTCCTAGGCGACCCAGTGTTTAATTTCAATGACACAGCCAGGCGCAAAACCAACTACCTCCAACTACCGGTTGGAGATCCTATTTGATTTAGGCCTGGCTGGGCAACAACCAACAGGAAGAATAGATCACAAGGAAGACAGCAACATAAGGAACAATGCTTCATGAACAAGTGCATAATTGAAATAGACTATCATAAGGTGCCCAAATACAATTAAGTGACAATAGATTAGCCTCAGACTAGTTAGGTAATTACCCATGGAGTCATAGCTGCTCAAAGTTTACAAACTACCAATGAAGCAAGGCAAAATATGAACATCAACAGCCTAATCAGTAAGCAGCAGTACTTGAACAACAGATAGGAGATAGGCAATAGAAATGGAGTACACAAATTAGTAAGACATTGCAGCAGCTCATCCATCCTCTAGTTCTAGTCATCATAGGCCTAAGTGGGGCAGCAGTAGTGCCAAGTATTGCCCACCTTCATCCACACTCCAAATAGCAAGATAGCAAGTGAGATGATCAACACATTCTTAGAGCAATCAGGCTTACCATCACCATCAGAAGGAGCAATGGTTTGAGGAGGTGCAACATTAGGAACTAGATCATAGGGGAGGGGAGCTGCTGCTCCATGAGATGGATTGACATCTCTCATTGCTGCCTGATAATCTCTAACATCCTACTCATAGTTTCTATACTTCTTGTATATAGCATTTCTAACCCCAAGAACTAGCTTAATGTAGTCATGCCAAGTCAGGTAAATCCCTAGAGTCTTCCCATAGAAAACCACATAGCAAGTTGGCATTTTTGTGAAATGAAATAGTGGTTTAGCCTTAGTCAAATATAAAGCATGAAACTAGCCATGAGTGTGGAACTTAAAGATCTATGGTTTGCGATGAAACAAATCATTGATCTTAAGTCTCTCACTGATGACCAGCATCATATAGTTCAAATCAACAGTAATGACATCACAAGCATTGTAAGAAATGATTGGCCTCAGCTTTAGAATCTGGTGGTGTTCATCAAGTTGAAATCATTGGTGGCTGCCATACAAATAAAAAACCAGTAGAACAGTAAGTTACAAACTGCAGGTAATAGAAGAACCAAACAAGTGCAAATCTAAGGTCATGGCTGCCATGGAACCCTAGTGTGCACATCCATTCACTGCCATCGGCACAAGAAAGAAGGGGTTGTTGCTAAGGGAATATGTGTTCACACATAGGGTTTGATGACAGTCATGAAAACATCAAGAACCAGGTAAATAAGGCAGCCACCTCATGTATACATTGTTTGCATCATAGGCCTTATAGATTTCCCATAGTTACCACCAATCAAAAGAAACAAAACCAATAGTTCATAAATAGAGCCAACAGTGCCATGCAGTAGGATATTAACATCACAAATCATTAATAGACATAAGCTTTGGCCATGAGACACACCATCCAGCAGTAGCATCATACTTCATCTATGCTGCTACCACTGTATGGCTGGGTTTCATGGATAAAGACCAGGTAACAGTGATAGATGATGTAGTAAATAGATCCAAAAAAAGAGAAGCAACATGTAGTAAACAGAACCAAAAGAACAGAACCAACATGTAGGAAATTGAGTTCCCAACAGAGGCCACTAATAGTGCACTACATATAGCAGTATAGCCTCATAGATGTGGGCTCAAATAAGGTCCATCTTGCCTAATGTTACCTATAGTTAGCCACCCTCCAACTACACTAACCCAAAAGGATAGGTGTGAATTAGCCAACTAAGCTGCACAAAAGCAACACCAAGGTGTGTACAAAAGGTGGGAGAGTGGGTGAGGGAGGTGGCGGAACTATACATCTCTACAGTCAACCCCTTCTTGTCCTTGTTGTCCTAGATGAATAGAACTACATATAGTAGTTCTTGGCAAGGTAGTTCCTCAGCCAAATATCCCTATGGCCGATTGCCATGTTCACAAAGTCCCTACCAAGGGCCTTGTTCTCCAGCAGGTAGGTGTAGGCAACAATGAGAGCTTCAGTGGTGAAACCAGCCATCTCCATGACTGTAAGATAGAGGTCAGGATCCACATGTGCAGGCCTAGTCTCTCTAAGTGCAGAGGCTACATTGTTGACAGCATCAGTCATGTTAGTCATCGTAAGCATCTCTTACTCACTGAAATTACCCCTCTTTCTCTTTACTCCAACAGTGGAAGTTAGTAGCTCAGTTGCCTTGCTGCCCTCACCCATCTCAGGGCTGGCTTTGACATCAGCAGCAGTGGTGAAGCCATGGCCCTCTATCTTAGCAGCAACATTGTCAACATTGATCACCCCAAGTGGCTCACTAGAACCTAGGGCAAACCTACCATTGGCCATGGAAGAACCAAATATGCTCACCATCTCGGGTGTAGAACCTGATTGGGGTGTTTAGGAATTGAGCATCCTTAGGATGGTCCCTCTGAGTCATGTGTGCTTAATTAAATAAGCAGGGGAAGAAGAGAATAAGTGGCCAGAAGAGGAAGAGAGGAGAGAAAGGCAATTGACTCTTTTTCTACCTTGTAGTGGCCTATGTAGTGCTCAGGTTCAAGCATTATGGCATTCACATCATGATCAAACAGTGCACCGGCAAGATCCTTCAACTTGACAACCCTAGCCCATACGCCTCCACTTTCTCAAGTGATTGTACACTTGAGTAGGGCTCCTGACTTCACCACAGTACTCTGTGAGAGCCTTAGCCACATGGTTCACATCTTTATCCTTGAAGCACTTGTCATTTTCTCCCATCCGAGACACTATCTAGGCCATCCTCCTAAGGACAAACCCAGAAGTGTTGTTATTCCACCTCATGGGGGGCCTAGCACCACTAGCACCCCGTTGGGCAGGCACTACCTCAGGTGCATCAGCCCCCACATCCACCACCACTGGTGCAGCAACAGCCCTAGCTGGCCCAGCACCAGCCACAGCAGCCATGTCAGTAGCCCCCACAAACTCAGCCATCCTAATAAGGTCAGCATCCATGACATGAAGGCAAGTATCAACAACAGATAGTATATGAAGAACGGGTAGAAGATGAACAAGACATAGAATATGAACAACAGATAAAACATTTACACCAGATTGGTCTCAGTCTTGTCCATGAAAATAGAATCATCATAAAAACAATAGCAGATTGGTCTCAGTTATGTCCAGCATATATTACAAATGATTAATACACCACATGAGTTCCATATCCAGGGTCTACAAACTAGAATCATACACGAATGGAAAGCATTAATCAAACCCTAGCAGTACCCCTACCAGCCCACATGGCATTGTAAATGCCATCCCTCCTATTAGACATGCTAGTGGAGTCCTAGGACAGCATGTCTCCCACAGGCTGGGTGTCATCAGCCTCAGGCTGGCTGCCTAGGAAGCCCTCCTCTTCTGGTACTGCTTCATCCATGCCAAACCCAATGATCCAATTATGGAGAATGCAACAGGCCAGTACAAGATTCACTTGAGTCTTGTATGTGTGAAAAGGTTTGTTGTCTAGGACACGAAATTTATTCTTGAGTGCACCAAAAGCTCTCTCCATTGTCACCCTAAGGGATGAATGCCTTAGGTTGAACAACTCCCTAGCATTGGTAGGATAATTGCGGCTCCCAAATTCAGACAAGTGGTACCTCACCCCCCTATAGGAAGGGAGGAAACTAGTGCGGCAAGCATAGCCAGCATCTACCAGGTAAAACTTCCCTACAAGTGGAAAAAAAGATATACTACAGTGAAGGTGTGTGGCAAGTTAAAGGACAACAGTGTATGGACTATTAATTTTAGTTACCTTCAGGAACTGTGAACCCATTATTCCTGTCAATTGCATCAGCAAGAATGAGTGCATCATGGGCAGAGCCCTCCAGCTAGCTAGGACATAAGTGAACCTGAGATCAAAGTCCACAGCAACCATCACATTTTGTGTGGGGCTGTGTTTCCTACACAAGAAAGACTGCTGCATGTGTCTAGGCACCCTTGCCAACACATGTGTGCCATCAATGGCACCAAAATAGTCCTAGAAATGTGTAGGATAGTGGATAAGTGCAAACACAACAAATGGTTAAACCTAAGGCATATAAAATGATTACATATAGGGGTACCATCTCTGGCTACCCATGATTTTTGGATGTGTGGCAGTGGTAGGAGGCTTGATCATTTCATTACTAAGCTCACCAACAGCATAGAGAACTTGGTGGAAGACTCTACTAATTTTCTCAATGGACCTCCAAAAAGACTGGTGAACTACCCTGAACCTCTAGTTGAGACCAACCACATGGAGGAACATTACAATCTGCTCCTCAACAGAACACCCACTGGTTTCTCCAACAAGGCCTCTACCTCTAAAAAGCTTGCATAGATTAAAAAAAAGGAGCTCTGGTCATACGCAACATAGCCAAACACTTAGCATCAGTGCTGTTAAATATCATTTGGAGGGTTGATAGCCTATGCTGCTGGCCTAATTACCTAGGACCATAAAGGATAGGCTCAAGTTAGGCCCTAATTCTTCTCAGTCTAGTGACCAAAAAAGAAGGCATAACCACAACCATGGCAGGTGCTTGCCTAGCCATCATCTCACGTTGTGCACTTGGATCCATCTACATGCATTCAACATTCAAACATACAACTCAGTTGTAGTAGACCCTGGCTGGCCTCAACATGAAAGTGCAATCATTCAAACCAAAATATAATAGCATGGTTGCATAAAAAGAATGCCTCCAGTGCAGTGGACAGAATCATCATCGGCCATCAAAGAACTAACATTTCAGCATACGGTGGATAGATTTAGCATCGACCAAATGAAAAGTACCAACAATGAAGCATAAATGTTTCAGTGCTCGAAATCAACATTCATAGCAACTACACAAGCATCATGTACCCAAACTATCATTCTATAGAGACAAATCGAAATCCAAATAGGGCAAGAGCAAACCCTATAATGAAAGCAAAGGGGATTTGGGGGGATTTCACCTTGTGGGAGTCGACGGTGACAGGAAGAAGCGCAAGACAGAGAAGAAGAAGAGCCATAGTGGAAGATGAAGTAGATCTGGTAGGGACGAAGCAGATCGACCCCAACCAAGACCAGCCACACCACCGTAGGAGGAAGACGACCGCATCCACGGAGCCCGGCAAGAGGCGCAGAAGCGCCGTTGCCAAGCGGATCCTGACCGCCTGAACAGAGACGAAGACCGGAGAGGAAGAAGACTGCCGCGCCGCACCACCACCACACAAACACCGCTTGGCCGGAGAGGAAGAAGACTGCCGCGCCGCACCACCATTTTCATGCAAACAAGCTTAGTGAACAGCTAGTCCTAGGCAAGACAGAACCAACAGAAGTGGTTTCACATTTTTGTCAACAGTATTTGAATTACCATGAATTTTTTAAGTTTGAACAACATTTACTTTGAATAAAGCATAATAAAAGATTTACAGCTGATACAAGAGTTCAAGCAGTAACAGTGTGTTCATCTACTCACAAGGAACACAACAAAAGTGGTTTGACAGTTTTTGCACATACCGAGAATTTATTATGCATTTTCTAAATTTACTAGCCATTTTCCATTGCATTAATCCAAATTAAATCAACACACAGATTTAAGTCATGCATATCGCACCATTGCAAAGTACAGATCATAAGGAAGCTAATGCAACTGACTTTGCCATTTTACAATTTTTCTATGATTTGATATGATTTTTCAAAGTTTCAGCCTAAATAAGCATTTAAATAAAGAAAACTAGAAAACAATTTTACTAATAACCCGCCTAGAAACTTTTTAAGTTTCAAGATAAGTCCATCATTTTTACACAAAAACCACCTAACTTAATTTTCCTTTTTGCAATGTGGTCCTCGAGGCCTCCTTCAAGCTCGGGTTGTGGACGAGCTCGCTTGGCTCGGCTGATGCCGGTCGGCGGCGAGGCCGACTAAGGCCGGAGTACCCTGCCAGGGCTCGACCGGTGGCGGCACGACAGTGGCGCCCAGGGGAACGGCTAGGGCACTGATCGCATAGCGCCTGCGCGTTCCGGCGAGGTGGCGGCCGGATGGGGGAAGGCGAGATGGGCATGAGCATCAGGGGAAGCAGAGGATGCTCGGCACGGGTTCAGATTGGGCAGAGCTAGTTTGGAGACGTCTGGCAAAGGTGAGGTGGTCGGCGACGGCGATGGGGGCCGGCGGTCACACGAAATTCCAGCAAGAGGGGGGTCGGTTTGGAGTTCAAGTGGACCGAGGAAGGGGAGGCTGTGGTGGTGGAGTCACGGCTCGGCGGAATTGAGCAATGGCGGGGGCGTTGGCTTGCAATGCCACCGGCGGGGAGCTCCTTCTCGAGCTCGGCTCGTTCGGGGTGGAGGACGGGAGGAAGGGAGGAGATGGCGCTCGGTCGGGGATAAGGAGGGGAGGCGAATTCGGCCGGCTTGGTACGGTGGCCACGCTGGCGCGTGCTAGTTAGCGTGGCCACGGCGTGCCTGACACTGGTTGGTCGGGCCGACTGAACTGGCCGGTTCTGGATGGTTTCCGGGATTTTGAAAATGGGCCTACTTTGAGCATTCCTAATTAAAAAACCGTGCAGAATTTAGGAGCGCTCAAATTAACAAAATTGTAGAGAAAACTACCAGCAACAACTTTTATAACTGGGTCCTCTTCGGATTCGGAGTGTTTAGAGAGATACACGGCTTCAAAGTTTCTGGATGGTTTGACCGCGTTTTTGAACATTTTAAACTGAAAACGACCGAGGAGAAATTTATCTGCTCCAAAACGTCACCAAGAAATTAATAATTTGAAGCAAGACAAATGGATCAATCAGACTAATTACGAGAATGTTCCGGTAAATCATACTAGCATGCCTAAAAATTACAGTACGCGAGATCGATTATATACTCCGTCGGGCCGGGGGACAGGCATCTATTTCTATTTGCGAATTAATTAAAAGCACGGGTTATTCTCCTAGTGTTCGCCGCCGCTGAAGCAGAACTAGCTGAAAGCACGCCCTCGAGAAAAGCTCCGCAGACTTGGACTATACTATTAGTCTGAACTAGCTGCCTAAAATGCGAGGATCATCATGAAGATCGAGCAAATGGCTGGTGAACTAGCTGAAGCACGCCCAAATAGTACGTCACCTGTGACCTGCTGCCCAGAAGTTTTAGAATTGCTTTTCCGAGCAGCAAATCCGATGGATCTGCCCGTTGGGTAGTGATAGTTTTTTTTTGTTAAGACAATATAGGCCCCGTTCGCTTCGGCTGAAAAAGCAAGACGAAACACTGTTCCGGCTGATTTGTTGTGAGAGAAAAATACTGTTCCAGCTGAAAAAACAAGCTGAAAAATATAGATTATAAGACAAACTGAAAAAGAGAAAGGATTTTTCCTTTCTTCCTTGCTTTCGGCC